GCTTAGTGATGAGCTTTGAGGGCACTATGGTGTTGAACGCTGAGCTGTAGTCAATGAATAGCATCCTCACATAGGTGTTCCTTTTGTCCAGGTGTGAAAGGGCAGTGTGGAGCGCAATAGAGATTGCATCATCTGTGGATCTGTTGGGGCGGTATGCAAATTGGAGTGGGTCTAGGGTTTCTAGGATAATGGTGTTGATGTGAGCCATGACTAGCATTTCAAAGCACTTCATGGCTACAGACATGAGTGCTACGGGTCAGTAGTAATTTAGGCAGGTTACCTTAGTGTTCTTGGGCACAGGGACTATGGTGGTCTGCTTGAAACATGTTGGTATTACAGACTCAGACAGGGAGAGGTTGAAAATGTCAGTGAAGACACTTGCCAGTTGGTCAGCGCATGCTCGGAGTACACGTCCTGGTAATCCATCTGGCCCTGCGGCCTTGTGAATGTTGACCTGTTTAAAGGTCTTACTAACATTGGCTACGGAGAGCGTGATCATACAGTCGTCCGGAACAGCTGATGCACTCATGCATGTTTCAGTGTTACTTGCCTCGAAGCGAGCATAGAAGTAATTTAGCTCGTCTGGTAGGCTCGTGTCACTGGGCAGCTCGCGGCTGTGCTTTCCTTTTGTAGTCTGTAATAGTTTGCAAGCCCTGCCACATCCGACGAGCGTTGGAGCCGGTGTACTATGATTCGATCTTAGTCCTGTATCGACGCTTTGCCTGTTTGATGGTTTGTCGGAGGGCATAGCGGGATTTCTTATAAGCTTCCGGGTTAGAGTCCCGCTCCTTGAAAGCGGCAGCTCTACCCTTTAGCTCAGTGAGAATGTTGCCTGTAATCCATGGCTTCTGGTTGGGGTATGTACGTACAGTCACCGTGGGGACAACGTCATCGATGCACTTATTGATGAAGCCAGTGACTGATGTGGTGTACTCCTCAATGACATCGGAAGAATCCCGGAACATATTCCAGTCTGTGCTAGCAAAACAGTCCTGTAGCTTAGCATCTGCTTCATCTGACCACTTTGTTATTGACAGAGTCACTGGTGCTTCCTGCTTTAGTTTTTGCTTGTAAGCAGGAATCAGGAGGATATAATTATGGTCAGATTTGCCAAATGGAGGACGAGGGAGAGCTTTGTACTCGTCTCTGTGTGTGGAGTAAAGGTGGTCTAGAGTTTTTTCCCCCTCTGGTTGCACAGTGTGCAACTTGAGTGTATATGTTCACACTGAAGTTGTACAACTGATGTAGAATGCATTTAGCGGTTGTGATAAGATTTTTTAGCAAAAAGATAACTTTGAACCTGGACAGTGAGAACCTGGACAATGAGACTGACGAGCAGCTCCATGCTGCCATCTATCCCTCTGAGGTATAATAAGTACTGGAGACTGTCCGCCCAAGATGTCCGTCCGTTGTTTTCAAGGTAATCTACTCATGTTCGCATACGCTGATTCATCGACCATCTATATCTGGGTTGCATCCGGTTTATACGGACTAACATCACACGCGCACTGGCACTCGGTGTGCACAGGGAGCAGCGACGACGTCATCATGTTATCCAAAAACATGGCAGACATTTGGATGAATATAAAATGCTAATATCTTAGGCTGTGAGTGATTGAAAAAAAATCTGCCTCAACGACAATTAATTGAATAATTCAATGGATGTTTTGTGCACAACGGTGATGACTAAAGTCTCTTATTAGGAATTTTCAAATCGGACTTCTTTATATGGCCGTCTACGGAAATTGTCTTTCAGTTAAACTGCAGTACCGAAGCAAAACTGTAGGAGCAGTCGAAACTTTGCTTCTAGACCGGAACCCTGGCCGCTTGATCTATCCACGGTTTTTGGTTTGGATAAGTTCTAATCGCCACAGTGGGACAACATCCTCTATGCACTTCCTGATGAACCCAGTCACCGAATCAGTGTACATGTCGATGCTATTCTCAGAGGTGACCCGGAACATTTCCCAGTCCGCGTGATCAAAACAATCTTGAAGGATAGATTCTGATTGGTCAGACCAAGTTTCTGCCTATAGGTGGGGAGGAGCAGAATGGAGGCATGATCTGATTTGTCGAAAGGAGGGCAGCGGAGGAGGGCCTTGTAGCCGTCCTGGAAGGGAGAATAGCAATGACCGAGTCCTCGATGCATTTGGCGGTTGTGGTACAACAGAGTTTTATGCACAAATATAACAGTTTGAGGTAGTATTTGAACCAGGCTAGAACCTGGCCAGTGAGACTGACGAGCAGCTCCATGTTAGCCACAATACACTTTCAACAAGATTCTTCACCATTTACATAATGTATTGAGTTACACCAAAATGTAAATTCCCTGAGCAGAAAAAAAGAAGCAGAACATTTCTTTAAATGTATTAATCTATTTTAGCATTTTCAAGCCTTCTAATACATTTAGAATGGCATTTCCAACAAAAGGCCACATTGTTGACTACTGCAAGAATAATGATCAGCACCCAAAGCCATTTATTAAGATCATGAAAAATTCAGTATACTTTATTATTTTGAACGTAACCACATGAGCGACAAGCATGCTCAAGTCCAAATTTCCCTCCCTGTTCTTTCACCAGACAAAGTACTTCAAGTACTCCGTGCAATTTGGGATGCAGGCTCTGTTTTTGGAACCGAAACAGAGATTCTCTATTTAGTCAACACCCTTTAGTGGTGCAACATGTGAAACACTAAATCAAGGGCTGATAACTACCAGCAGCACAGAGATACACACACAGAGAAAGTTATTATTTCAAAGGTTTGGTTTTATTTGATAATACTGTTGTATATTTTTGTCCATCGGCTGAATGCCCACGAGGGACTTACACAAAGCATTAAACACATGCATAGTCTGGTTGTCTTCACACTCCACCTCTTCATCTCCCTCAGTCTTCACACACACACACACACCCAATACCCCATCAACCCCTCCCTACCAACTTGGCACGTGTACATCTGAAAGCATTGGATAAGGTAAAATAAATATGGTATTACCAAGGGATTGCCTTCTGAAAGATAGAATGATCCCCATGTTTCTTACATCCAATCCTCTTTAGATCTATGCAAGTGCCTTCATTGCAGGTAGGTGACTAGGGGTGAGATTTACAGGAGGTGGATGGCACCTTAATTGGGGAGGACAGGCTCTTGGTAATTGCTGGGGCGGAATGGTATCAAATACATCAAACACATGGTTTGCATGCGTTTGATGCCATTCCATTTACTCCGTTCCAGCCATTATTATCAGCCGTCCTCCCCTCAGCAGCCTCCACTGGTGAGATGATCTTTCTCTCACATGCTCCCAGCGCAAGAAGACCTTCACCACTTTAGAAAGAAGAAAGACAGACTTGATAGGAAAAAAAACACTAAATCATGTAATAGATTTAACACTGGAAAACAAAATGTACTGGAAATGGAAAGCACTTTAATTTATGCTTCTGATACTCCATCATACTTTAAATCCAAATGAATATGATATAGCAATCTACTGAGATCTGAGGAGTATGTGCTGTCTCAGACCTCAGAAGATGCCATTTCATTTTGATGTGGTTTCCTGAGAAGTTACACTTCTCCAGGCGTTGTGAGATCTGATCACCTGCGCAATGTGACTGACTGCAGTTAAGACAGAACGTGGCCTGGCTGTCTGGTTGAGTCCCATAAGGCACCCTATTCCCTTTGTAGTGCTACTTTTGACCAGGACCCATATAGTGCACTATATTGGAATAGGGTGCCATTTGGGACACACAGTCTGCCTGCCTGTGGTATGATATTAACAACACTACAGAGAATCACACTGTTCGGTCTTTACTGGAATTCCTCTTCAAAGTGCAAATCTAGTTCTAGATCTAATGATGCAAATAACAATAATTATTTTAAAAAACAAAAGTATATGCATAGGTACTGTACAGCAATCTAGGGGGAGTGGGTGGAGACAGTGAGGAGGGGTGAGGGGGTTGTTGAGTCTAGAGGGGGCATCGAGGGGAGGGGGGCATAGGGGTGCGGGTTATTGGGGGGGGGGGGGGGGGGGGGGGGGGGGGGGGTAATATGTGATACCATAGGCGTGTATCTCTATCACATACACCATAGACTGGTCTGGTGAGACATGCATTCTAGAAGGTTCTTTTAAAATGTTATTCCCATATTTGTCTCTGACTGGGATGCTTTGGTTATTCAGACAAAACGAATGCAACCATTTATAAAAACTAAACTCCCTTCTTACCAAATGTCTATTAGAACAAGCTGGGAAGTCCCGCCTCACCATCAATCTGATTGGTCCTAACAGCATGGTTATGAGAAGCAACAAATAGCGTTTGACTAGATAAAAAAAAAACACAAAAAGGCATCTTGGAATATGGCTTTGCAATCAAACAGAATGAGGAAACATAATTAATGTCGAGCCATCATTGAATAGATATGGAGTCGTTCTAACCTGGGTAGTTTGACAGGGGTAGAGAGTGCACTACTTTTGACCTGGGCTCTGTTGCCATTTGAGACACACCCATAAATCAGTCCTCCTGACGCCAGCCTCAGGGGGATGTGACATCATCATCACTCGACCAGACTATGGGTCTCGTGACCCTAAATAGCTACACAAACATCCTGAGCCCCTGTCTAGTGCCTTCCCCTAGCCTCTAACCCTTCTGTGTTTTGTAGTCCTGAAGGAACCGGATGGGTTTAAGCAATTTGACAAATACCATTTAGGGGGCTAGGTGGAGCATCACCATACTATTAACATATTCAGTCCCTTTAGATCTGCAAACACAAGAAGAAGGGGTAGTAGCTAGGAGTTGTTTTTGGACCAGTAAACAATTTCACTGAGCTCTCTTAAAATCAATCAGCTTTGCCTCGTTATATTTTATATGTGTATCATATTAATATGTTGTCCTTTCACACAGAACTTATTTTCTCCCCTAATATTTCATGAAATGTTTAGAAACCATTTTTTTCTTTAAATCAGGTTGTGCAGTGGGCAGCTGGAAGGGGGTAGTGTCAGAAAGTGACTAGGGGTCCTCGATGTCCAGGAACTCCTTCTTGGGCGGAGTCACACCGCGATACCAGGAACAGGAGCCGTCTGCCCTCTTAACGCAGGTGTAGTGGTTGGCTTGGCGACCGTGCACCTGCTTCTCTATCATCAGGTCTGTCCACAGACATTCCTCTGGAGCAGAGATGGCACAGGGCAGGGAGGGGCAGCGCACAATCTACACAGAGAGAGACAGATACACACATAGGTTAAAGGCCCAATGCAGATGTTTTTATATGAATATCAAATCATTTCTGGGTAACAATTAAGTACCTTACTGTAATAGATTTCCATTTTAAAATGGGCAAAAATAGCTTTTTAGCAAAAAACTATTTCTTAAGTAAGAAATTTGCTAGGTCTGAGTGGGGAGGGGGAAACTAAAAACTAGCTGATATTATTGGCTGAGAGGTTTCGAACTCTGTTATTGATCTATTAACCAATTTACACTGTAAAGCTGAAACTCCCGCCCATTCAAACCTGCTGATTAGAAGGCCCTCTGTAGATTGTATTTTCAGGAAATAACTGATACAAATATATATATAAAAAAACACTTTTACAGTGTTAGTTTCATCAGCTGTTGTACAATATGATAGAAAACACAGGGAAAACAGAATTTTGACTGCACTGGGCCTTTAAGATTGGTTTCCCTACCCATCTACCCTTTCCACATCACTCTCCTGCCCTTCACTCCTCTTGCTTCCCACCACCTCCCTCCCTACCTTGCAGTCACAGCCCATCTGATAGCGCTGCGTCAGACTCTTCTTCTGAGTGGGGCTCATGGGCTCCCAGGGCGTGATGTAATCACACAGGGTCACATGCATCTTCCCACCTGCCTCCGCCTTGCCTGCAGGGGGCAACAGAGGGAGCGGGAGAGAGAGATAGAGAGAGGTGGGTGGAGACAGAGGGGGTGGGGTAAGGAGAGAGAAAGGTTCTCTCTAAAACAGCAACAACAGATGTGGTTCTGAAACGTGATAAGAGTAATTGAAATCGGACAGAAGCTTTTCTTTTACTCTCCTTCCCCCTCTTAGATCGGGGCAGACAGCGATAAGAAAAGGGAGAAGAGGGGGTGAGGAGGGACGAGAGGGATGAGTTGTTGAAATGCTAGAAGGACAGAAACTGGTTTTCACCATACTGAGGTCCGTCCGGAATCCTAAAGGATCCAGAAGAAGGAAACGCTAACCTCAGCAGTTCCTGTTCTGGTGTTCCCTGTAATTAGGCTGAGTGTGTGAGTGTGTGTGTGTGTGTATAGGGAAACCAGAGCGTGCATGATCTAATGCCCCTCTGTGTCCCTCTTTACATCTACTCTGTCTGCTCCAGTTGTGCTCACTCAGCACCATCTAGCATAGCCTGATCCCAGATCTGTTTGTGCCATCTTGCCAACTCCTATGGTCATTGTAACACCACTAACCGTAGGAGTAGGCAAGAAAACACAAACAGCTCTGGGATAAGACTACTTCTAGCACACAGTGGAGGGAGATTACTACGCCATGTCATCAGTGTCTGGTCAGGTCAGACAGACGACTAGCCTTACCGGAGATGAGGTACTCCTTCTTGCCGCTGGTATCCAAGGTAACGCCACACATAGCGGAGACTGGCGAAGTGAAGATTGCCTCAATGTCCTGGTCAGGACCCTTAAACATCTACAACACAATCACAGGTAAGGGGTTAGATGAACACAGGTCTTATATCTAACAACACAACCACAAGTCAGGGGGGGTTAGAGGTCATGGATGTATTCTCACCTTGATCTGCTTGACCTCATACTGGATCCTCTTAATGGGGTTCCCATAGATATCATTCCCAGTATCCACCTCCTTCTCCCCCACCACCTTCGCTCGGATCACTGCAGGGAGACCGAGATATGGGGTCAGAGGACATCAAGAACACACACAGACCCAAAACAAAGCTTCTGTTTGAATACCTCCCTCCACAGTACAGCTCGTTAACCACCCGCAGATGGAGCCCAGGCAGCCTAAACACACTATGGCAGCCTGTAGATCCTACATCAATAAACCCCAAATACGGTGAGTCAAAACTTTGTTTTGACTGTTTCAGGATGTGAACTAGCTGCCACTACCATTCCACATCAAATCATGATTTGTTAGCACATATTGGCAGGGAGGGATGTGTGCTTTCACTGACAGAAACAAGGGAGTGATTGAGGCACATTATCAAGGGGAGAGAGCGAGAGAGAGAACAATGTAGTGACACTGAAGAAAGGATAGAGGCCAGATAAAGTATGAACGAGCTGTAGTTCGTGTGTATGTGTGTGTGTGTGTGTAAGACCTCACAGACTACATCATGCTTCAGCTATGGGAAGGAAATGGAAAATGAGCAATATGCAAGAACGTACAATCACCAGAGAGAAACACACACAAACACACTCCACAGGGTTGACTGTCATTGCTCTAAACCCTTGGGTTCTCTTTATGGCATGGAACAGACACAAATATTTGGGGGGGGGGGGGGGGGTCAATGCTCTGTCTTTTGCATGCTTTTCTGCACATGTAACCACTTCCCAAGTTCATACACAGGGAGCTGACTGAGGCTGATGCAAAACACACACACACACCAAGTGCCAGCGGTGTACCTGGCTGGCTCCCTCTCCTGCATTCCGTGGAGTTTTTCCCTTTCTCGTTTCCTGACCTCATTTAGGCCCAGAGGCTAATGAGCACTAAGGACTCTGGGAATATAACAGGGCAGAGAGAACTAGCAATTGGGAAGAAAATAGAAATTCATACCGTTACATATCGGGATATTATTTTTGACAAGATATCGTATCGTTTTGATAATATCGCAATATTATTTTTGCGCTAGTTGGCTGAAGTATTTTTTTATTTCCATGACTGATCAAAACTTGTTGTTTTCTCATTGCTCTCTTGTCCCTCTGCAGCAGACATACAGTGAGCAATTTGTTTGGACTATGGAATCACAATACAATCACAGTATTGAATCGCAATACATATAGAATCGTGAGAATAGCAATACATATCATATCGGCACCTAAGTATCGTGATAAGATCGTATCATGAGGTCCCTGGCAATTCCCAGCCCTAGAGAGAACGCTCAGCCCAGGGAAAAAGTGTGGGGGTGGCAGGTAGCCTACCGGTTAAGAGCATTGGGCCAGTAACCGAAAGGACGCTGGTTCAAATCCCAGAGCTGACTAGGTGACGCATCTGTCGATGTGCCCTTGAGCAAGGTACTTAACCCACCTGTAAGTCGCTCTGGATAAGAGCGTCTGCTAAATGACAAAACATTTTAAGGGATTCTGTGATTTGGGACTGCTGCCTGTTTAATGACTTTCGCAGGAATGATGTTTTCCCTAAATAGGCCCCCCCCCCCGCTGCCGCTACTTCTTAACTAGGTCATATGAGCACCCCATGTTGAGAGGGGAGCAGAAACTCTAGGGTAGCAGAGAGAGAGAGCTAAGAGGTTAAAACACGCACACATCTCACCCCAATCATAGCTATGCAGAATTACTTATACATGTATAAATCACCAGCACTAAGCAATGTCTTTCCATGAAAACCATGCTGAGTTCCCCTAACCGTCCCCTCACTTATCCACCACACCACTCTCCATCCCTCTCCCCATCAGAGCGGTGGTTCTAGGGGGTGACCTGGCCTCCCAATTCCCAGCACTTGCTGGAGCAGGCTGGGAAGTCCCCTGTCTTTTCCGGGGAATGCAGATGTAAAATTAGCTGTAAGCTAAATCTGGTGCAATGCATCACTTCCCACTGGTTGAATCAACATTGTTTCCACGTCATTTGAATTAAATTACATTGAACCAACGTGGAATAGAAGTTGAACTGACATCTGTGCACAGTGGGTTCTCACTTCAGAGTGATGTTTTTGTTGTATATTGTCCCTGTCCAAATAAACGTAATAAATAAATTGTCTACAAGCTAGACATGGGAGCAGGGACGTGTGTGTGTGACACCAGGGGAAATGTTAAATCACGTAGCTGTTAGTGTCACTCCACTAGAAGATACAGACTCAGTGTGCTGTCGACTGGCGTAGTCCACACAGACAATATACACACACATCTCATCTTCATCCTATCATACCATCCTCTCCCTCTTCTTACTTACTCGGAGTATGGATGGGAGCTTAAGCATATTCTTGGCCTCTCTCTGCAAAGTCTAACTAATTTTGATGAGCTTGGTGGGACTGCTACACTAAGAGGTACAGTGGGGAAAAAAAGTATTTAGTCAGCCACCAATTGTGCAAGTTCTCCCACTTAAAAAGATGAGAGAGGCCTGTAATTTTCATCATAGGTACACGTCAACTATGACAGACAAAATGAGGAAAAAAAATCCAGAAAATCACATTGTAGGATTTTTAATGAATTTATTTGCAAATTATGGTGGAAAATAAGTATTTGGTCACCTACAAACAAGCAAGATTTCTGGCTCTCACAGACCTGTAACTTCTTCTTTAAGAGGCTCCTCTGTCCTCCACTCGTTACCTGTATTAATGGCACCTGTTTGAACTTGTTATCAGTATAAAAGACACCTGTCCACAACCTCAAACAGTCACACTCCAAACTCCACTATGGCCAAGACCAAAGAGCTGTCAAAGGACACCAGAAACAGAATTGTAGACCTGCACCAGGCTGGGAAGACTGAATCTGCAATAGGTAAGCAGCTTGGTTTTAATAAATCAACTGTGGGAGCAATTATTAGGAAATGGAAGACATACAAGACCACTGATAATCTCCCTCGATCTGGGGCTCCACGCAAGATCTCACCCCTTGGGGTCAAAATGATCACAAGAACGGTGAGCAAAATCCCAGAACCACACGGGGGGACCTAGTGAATGACCGGCAGAGAGCTGGGACCAAAGTAACAAAGCCTACCATCAGTAACACACTACGCCGCCAGGGACTCAAATCCTGTAGTGGGAGACGTGTCCCCCTGCTTAAGCCAGTACATGTCCAGGCCCGTCTGAAGTTTGCTAGAGTGCATTTGGATGATCCAGAAGAGGATTGGGAGAATGTCATATGGTCAGATGAAACCAAAATATAACTTTTTGGTTAAAAAAACTCAACTCGTCGTGTTTGGAGGACAAAGAATGCTGAGTTCCATCCAAAGAACACCATACCTACTGTGAAGCATGGGGGTGGAAACATCATGCTTTGGGGCTGTTTTTCTGCAAAGGGACCAGGACGACTGATCCGTGTAAAGGAAAGAATGAATGGGGCCATGTTTTGTGAGATTTTGAGTGAAAACCTCCTTCCATCAGCAAGGGCATTGAAGATGAAACGTGGCTGGGTCTTTCAGCATGACAATGATCCCAAATACACCGCCCGGGCAACGAAGGAGTGGCTTCGTAAGAAGCATTTCAAGGTCCTGGAGTGGCCTAGCCAGTCTCCAGATCTCAACCCCATAGAAAATCTTTGGAGGGAGTTGAAAGTCCGTGTTGCCCAGCGACAGCCCCAAAACATCACTGCTCTAGAGGAGATCTGCATGAAAGAATGGGCCAAAATACCAGCAACAGTGTGTGAAAACCTTGTGAAGAGTTACAGAAAACATTTGACCTGTGTCATTGCCAACAAAGGGTATATAACAAAGTATTGAGAAACTTTTGTTATTGACCAAATACTTATTTTCCACCATAATTTGCAAATAAATTCATTAAAAATCCTACAATGTGATTTTCTGGATTTTTTTTTCTCATTTTGTCTGTCATAGTTGACGTGTACCTATGATGAAAATTACAGGCCTCTCTCATCTTTTTAAGTGGGAGAACTTGCACAATTGGTGGCTGACTAAATACTTTTTTTCCCCACTGTATGTATGCATTTATGTTATGTATGCATAGTCAAAATGACCAGGACACGGATGGGTTCTGAAGAGGAGCGAACACTGTTGAAAGTCAGAGGTTAGAGTATCCCACCCTGTAAATCAATAGTGTTTGTGTGTGTGGTTTGAGAAAGCGATGATCATAGAGGGGATGGTCAGAAGGATGGGTGGAGAGCGGGAAAGATAAAGTTTGTGCCATTTCCATGGATACCATACATATTTGTGAGAGGTCCTTGACGTTTATATATTTGTTCCTTTTGTGTACCCAAAACTGACAGCCAGATGGATGCATGAGAGAGAGCGACACATTTCTTTGTAGTGTATGCATGTGTGTGTGTGTGTACTGTTCTGTGTGTGTACTGTACTGCATGTCTGTGCAGTCTTGTGTGTGCACAGCACCCATCCCACTGTGCACAGACGTAATTTCAACGACTAGTTTTGATTTACACTGAATAAAAATATAAATCCAACATGTAAAGTGTTGGTCCCATGTTTCATTAGCTGAAATAAAATATCAAAGAAATGTTCCATAATCACAAAAAGCTTATTTCTCTCAGATTCTGTCCACAAATTTGATTACATCCCTGTTAGTGAGCATTTCTCCTTTACTAAGATAAGTAATCCACCTGACAGGTGTGGCATATCAAGAAGCTGATTTTACAGCATGATCATTACACAGGTGCACCTTGTGCTGGGGACAATACATGGTCACTCTAAAATGTGCAGTTGTGTCACAACACAATGCCACAAGTTTTGAGGGAGTGTACAATTGGCATGCTGACTGCAGGAATGTCCACCAGAGATGTTATCAGAGAATTTAATGTACATTTCTCTCCAACGTCGTTTTAGAGAATTTGGCAGTACGTCCAACCGGCCTCACAACCGCAGACCACGTGTAACCATGCCAGCCCAGGACCTCCACATCCGGCTTCTTTACCTGCGGGATCATCCGAGCCCAGCCACCCAGACGGCTGATGAAACTGTGAGTTTGCACAACCGAAGAATTTCTGCACAAATTGTCAGAAATCGTCTCATGGAAGCTCATCTGCTTGCTTGTCGTCCTCACCAGGGTCTTGACCTGAATGCAGTTTGGCATCGTAAGTGACTTCAGTTGGCAAATGCTCACCGTCGATGGCCACTGTCATGCTGGAGACGTGTGCTCTTCATGGATGAATCCTGGTTTCAACTGTACATTTTAGTCATTTAGCAGACACTCTTATCCAGAGTGACTTACAGGAGCAATTCGGTTTAAGTGCCTTGCTCAAGGGCACGTCGACAGATTTTTCACCTAGTTGTCTCAGGGATTCGAACCAGTGACTTTTCGGTTAGTGGCCCAACACTCTTAACCGCTAGACTGTATTTACGGACATATTAAATCTCTCCCTATCCCAGTCTGCTGTCCCCACATGCTTCAAGATGGCCACCATTGTTCCTGTACCCAAGAAAGCAAAGGTAACTAAACTAAATGACTATCGCCCCGTAGCACTCACCTCTGTCATCATGAAGTGCTTTGAGAGACTAGTCAAGGATCATATCACCTCTACCTTACCGGTCACCCTAGACCCACTTCAATTTGCTTACCGCCCCAATAGATCCACAGACGATGCAATCGCCATCACACTGCACACTGCCCTATCCCATCAGGACAAGAGGAATACCTATGTAAGAATGCTGTTCATTGACTATAGCTCAGCATTCAACACCATAGTACCCTCCAAGCTCATCATTAAGCTCGAGGCCCTGGGTCTGAACCCCGCCCTGTGCAACTGGGTCCTGGACTTCCTGATGGGCCGCCCCCAGGTGGTGAAGGTAGGAAACAACATCTCCACTTCGCTGATCCTCAACACTGAGGCCCCACAAGGGTGCATGCTCAGCCCCCTCCTGTACTCCCTGTTCACCCATGACTGCGTGGCCAAGCACGCCTCCAACTCAATCATCAAGTTTGCAGACGACACAACAGTAGTAGGCTTGATTACCAACAATGAGGAGACAGCCTACAGAGAGGAGGTGCGGGCTCTGGGAGTGTGGTGCCAGGAAAATAACCTCTCACTCAACGTCAACAAAACAAAGGAGATGATCGTGGACTTCAGGAAACAGCAGAGGGTGCACCCCCCTATCCACATCGACGGGACTGCAGTGGAGAAGTTGGAAAGCTTCAAGTTCCTTGGCGTACACATCACTGACAAACTGAAATGGTCCACCCACGCAGACAGTGTGGTGAAGAAGGCGCAACAGAGCCTCTTCAACCTCAGGAGGCTGAAGAAATTTGCCTTGGCACCTAAAACCCTCAAACTTTTACAGATACACAATTGAGAGCATCCTGTCGGGCTGTATCACCGCCTGGTATGGCAACTGCACCGCCCACAACCGCGGGGCACTCCAGAGGGTGGTGCGGTCTGCCGAACGCATTACTGGGGGCAAACTACCCGGATACCTACAGCACCCGATGTCACAGGAAGGCCAAAAAGATCATCAAGGACATCAACCACCCGAGCCACTGCCTGTTCACCCCGCTATCATCCAGAAGGCGAGGTCAGTACAGGTGCATCAAAGCTGGGAACGAGAGAATGAAAAACCGCTTCCATCTCAAGGTCATCAGACTGTTAAAAACAGCCATCACTAGCACATTAGAGGCTGCTGCTGCCTATTGAAATCACTGGCCACTTTAAGAAATTGAACACTAGTCACTTTAATAATGTTTACATATCTTGCATTACTCATCCAATATGTAATTTATATACTGTATTCTATAATATTTTACTGTATCTTAGTCCATGCCGCTCTGTCATTGCTTGTCCAAATATGTATTCTTAAATTCCATTCCTTACTTAGATTTGTGTGTATTTGGTACATGTTGTGAAATTGTTAGATATTACTGCACTGTCGGAGCTAGAAGCACAAGCATTTTGCTACACCCGCAATAACATCTGCTAAACACGTGTATGTGACAAATAAAACTGTCAGAAACCATCTCAGGGAAGCTCCTCCGCGTGCTCGTCGTCCTCACCATGGTCTTGACCTGACTGCAGTTCGGCATCGTAACTGACTTCAGTGGGCAAATGCCACTGGCATGCTGGAGAAGTGTGCTCTTCACGGATGAATCCCAGTTTCAACTGTACCGGGCAGATGGCAGACAACGTGTATGGTGTCATGTGGCCGAGCAGTTTGCGGATGTCAACGTTGTGAACAGAGTGCCCCATGGTGGGGTTATGGTATGGGCAGGCATAAGCTACGGACAACGAACACAATTGCATTTTATCAATGGCAATTTGAATGCACAGAGATACCATGACGAAATCCTGAGGCCCATTGGTGTGCCATTCATCCACCGCCATCACCTCATGTTTCAGCATGATAATGCACGCCCAATGTCGCAAGGATCTATACACAATTCCTGGAAGCTGAAAATGTCCCAGTTCTTCCATGGCCTGCATACTCACCAGACATGTCACCCATTGAGCATGTTTGGGATGCGCTGGATCAACGTGTACAACAGTGTGTTCCAGTTCCCACCAATATCCAGCAACATCGCACAGTCATTGAAGAGGAGTGGGACAACATTTCACAGGCCACAATCAACAGCCAGATCAAGAAGGAGATGTGTGGCGCTGCATGAGGCAAATGGTGGTCACACCAGATACTGACTGGTTTTCTGATCCACACCCCTGACTTTAAGGTATCTGTGACGAACAGATGCATATCTGTATTCCCAGTCATGTGAAATCCATATATTAGGGCCTAATGAATTTATTTAAAATTGTTGCATGTTGAGTTTATATTTTTATTCAGTGTACATTTGGTTGAGATGTCAACTAACTTGAATTCAACATGACATTAACAACAAATGTCACCATGTCATTGGATGTAGGTTAAACGTTACGCGAAAAAAAAGACAATTCCCTTATTACATTGATGACTTTTTGCAACTCCAATCTTTTTCACATTGATTCAACGTCATCATATTGATTTTCTGTTGCTGAAATTACGTGGAAACATTGATTCAACCAGTTTTTGCCCAGTGGGATGTCTCTCTGAAGTGGCGTGTGTCAGTGTCTGTAGCTGTCCCGCTGCATTAGTTTGGTGCGGAGCGGGAAAACCCCTGAAACATTCCTGTCATTCCTTGCAGCTACACCCCTCAGAGGAAGGAGGGAAAGAAGGGAGGACAGAAAGAGAGAAAGAGCGAGAGAGAGAGAGGAGGACTGGTGTGAGACTAATTCTGAGAGGGATTCTAAAGCAGAATTTATACTACCCTGCTTGGTCCATCTTAGTCTCCCTTGCTCGCTCTCACCCTCTCTTTATGTCTTCCTCATCCTGCTGTGCCACGTCCACAAACCAGGCGAAACTCCTAGCCCCACAGCAGATGCTAAAGCACTGTAAACTCATAGGGGACTGTGCAGTGTTTCCCCTGTATTAATTTAGCAGCAGCACACCGCCACTGCTAAATTGTTGCTGCCACACCAAAAACAAACACACACACATTACCAAGAGTATGTGGACACCTGCTCTTTGAACATCTCATTCCAAAATCATGGGCATTAATATGGAGTTGGTCCCCCCTTTGCTGCTATAACAGCCTCTACTATTCTGGGAAGGCTTTCCACTAGATTTTGAAACATTGCTGTGGGGACTTGCTTCCATTCAGCCACAAGAGCATTAGTGAGGTTGGGCACTGATGTTGGGCGATTAGGCGTTCCAATTCATCCCAAAGGTGTTCGATGGGGTTGAGGTCGGTGCTCTGTGCAGGCCAGACAAGTTCTTCCACATCGATCTCGACAAAACATTTTTGTATGGACCTCGCTTTGTGCACAGGGGCATTGTCATGCTGAAACAACTTTGTTGCCACAAAGTTGGAAGCACAGAATCGTCTAGAATGTCATTGTATGCTGTAGCGTTAAGATTTCCCTTCACTGGAACTAAAGGGGCCTAGCCCGAACCATGAAAAACAGCCCCAGGTCATTATTCTTTCTCCACCAAACTTTACAGTTGGCACAATGCATTCGGGCAGGTAGCATTCTCCTGGCATCCGCCAAACCCAGATTCGTCCCTTGGACTACCAGATGGTGAAGCGTGATACATCACTCCAGAGAACGCGTTTCCACTGCTCCAGAATACAATGGCGGCGAGTCCAGCCGACGCTTGGCATTGTGCATGGTGATCTTAGGCTTGTGTGGGGCTGCTCGGCCATGGAAACCCATCATGAAGCTCCTGATGAACAGTTTTGTGCTGACATTGCTTCCAGAGGCAGTTTGGAACTCGGTAGTGAGTGTTGCAGCACTCTGCGGTCCCATTCTGTGAGCTTGTGTGGTCTACCACTTCGCGGCTGAGCCGTTGTTGCTCATAGATGTTTCCACTTCACAATAACAGCACTTACAGTTGACCGGGGCAGCTCTAGCAGGGCAGAAATTTGACTAACTGACTTGTTGGAAAGGTGGCATCCTATGACGGTGCCACGTTGAAAGTCACTGAGGTCTTCAGTAAGGCCATTCTACTGCCAATGTTTGTCTATGGAGATTGCATGGTTGTGTGCTCGATTTTATACACCTGTCAGCAACGGGTGTGGCTGAAATAGCTGAATCCACTACTTTTGTATGTGATATATATATATATATATATATAAATAACACACACTTTGTTTAATATAACTTTTTGGGATGGAAAAACGCTTTCAGTGTAAACTTAAATGAGTATAAGTAGACAAAGTTTACAGACAAGATGATTGACCTACATATTTTTAAATCATACAATCTTTGAGAACTTGAAATCACCCCAGAAAGCTAAAACGATGAAACCAATTAAATTAAAATATGAATTTACAAGTACTTTTGGCATAGCTGGATTATTGGCCCCGATTCAGGTCCCCACTGATTTTGTGATAATGTTTGAACATAAGAACACAGAATTAGCCATGGTAAAATGCGTAGAATTGGAGGAAAACCTTTCTTATTGCTAATAGCACACCTGCCTGATAATATTGTATGGTGCCATGTACAGGCTATGGTAAAAGAGCCTTAAAATAATTTGTCAATATTGGGCTCATTTCTGGTGGGGATTATAGATACCTGGTATTGGCATCATTTGATTTTCATTAGTTTTGGAGTAGAATGTTATTTTAAAAAGTCACCAGAAATGACCTTCTCACAGTCTGCAGGGGCATGTTCCCGTGAACCCGCTGCAATCTTTGCCAACGCATTCAAAAGACAATCTAGGTGAAACAATGGTGTGTCTGTGTGTCACCTCTGCGTTACTATCCGACCCCGTCCTACATGTCTGCAGAATCGTCAGGTGGAGAAACAATGCAAACCTTCACATCTCTCAGACAAAGTTACTAATCATCATGTGAGCCAACCACCTCCATTACACATCTCCTGTTTACATTTGATGTGTTAGAAGTTGGTCAACCAATTCTCACCAGTGTGGAAAAGAAGGGTCGTTCCATGTCATTTCAGCAAGCCATGACACCCACTGTCTCAGATTGTTCTGAAATTGTTTCTGTAGTTAGAAACAGATAAGATAAGCATTCCGGAAACATTATTTTGTTTAAATATAATTTGATTGCACCCAAATTGGCCATTTTAATTTATAGGATTCATATCATATCCAATAAATATAGTACCTAACATCCAATTTGGACCAAACGTTTTTCTAACAATGAGTAAGACAAGGAATTCCCCATGTCTTACTCATTGTTAGAAAAACGTTTGGTCCAAATCGGATGTTAACAATGAGTAAGACATGGGGAATTCCTTGTCTTACTCATTGTTAGAAAAACGTTTGGTCCAAATCGGATGTTAGGTACTATATTTAGCTTATTATCTCAGAGATCAAATTATATTTTCAACAAAATAATGTTGCAGGAATGCTATCTTATCCGTTTCTAACAGAAACGATTTCAGAACGATCTGAGATGGTGGGTGTCTAAATCCTCTTTCTTGTCCTTTTTGAGGTGGAACGACCCAGAGGTGGCCCCCTATTCCTGAACGCACCACAAACTGAATACACAAACTACAAAATGAACTACTGGACACACTTGACAGAGACTGTAGAAGTGACAAACTCTGCCACCGCTGCCAGCAGACTATGGGAAAACAGCCAGAACTGGCAAGCACACTACTACCTTCCTTAAAGGACCAGACCTGTTGACAGAGGCTGTAATAGAGACACAACAACAGAAGGTGCCCAGATGGTGCACGTGAGGGCGTAGCCTGTCAATCACTTACCTACGTCCGCGTTACAGAAAGCCTGTTGCGGGTGCACAGGGGCACAGCTACAAGCTTCCACTAGCTCCTCTGCCCGCCACAGAATCAGTACCGTCAGCGTACAGAGGACGCCGTTAATTGGCAACGACATTTTCTCCCGCGTTGTTTACCTTCCTTTGAAATGCGGAAAAAGTGTCCCTATTGAGAGTGAAATCCGCTGAGCGCTGTAGGTGTGTGTGTCTGTGTGCGTAGGCTATCTGTGTGTGAGAGCCGCTACAATGACAATAATAATTGAAGAAGACCGCAGGTCCTGGGCCCCAGGCAGTTGAGCAGTTCCGAGCTGGAGGAAACTAAAATCCACCTTTAGAAAGTCGTGAAGGAAACGCTGCTGCACTGTCCAACAGTGTGACCGTTCACCGGAGTCTGTTGTTCTTTCTTTCAGGATCAGCTGGGTTTTAAGTCTGCTGCATGTTGGACTCCTCCCCCCTCGGTAACGATTCGTCCTGCGGTAGGGGCTGGAGCCATATGTTAAAAGTTTTCCTCTCCTATTCTCATCTCTTCTGAGTTGCATCCCTCTTCTCCGTCTGTAGCTGCTGCTGACGTTATCAGCATATTTAGAGAGAAAGAGTGAGAGAGAGAACATTGTAAATACCACCAATATTTATCTGTTTATTTACAGTGAAAATATTAATACCCCTGAACTTTTTCCACATGTTGTTGTGTTACAGCCTGCATTAAAAAAAAAATAAAAAAAAATAAAAAATTATCTCACCCATCTACACACAATACCCCATAATGACAAAGTCAAAACATTTGTTCGAATATTTTTCACATTTATTGAAAATGAAATACAGAAATATCTAATTTACAAAAGTATTCACACCCCTGAGTCAGAACATGTCAGAATCATATTTGGCAGTGATTACAGTCGTGAGTCTTTCTGGGTAAAGCTCTAAGAACTTTGCACACCTGGATTGTACAATATTTGCACATTATTATTTTTTAAATTCTTCAAGCTCTGTCAAGTTGGTTGTTGCTCATTGCTAGGCAGCCATTTTCAAGTCTTGCCATAGATTTTCAAGCCAATTTTAGTCCAAACTGTAACTAGGCAACTCAGAAAAATTCAATGTCGTCTTGGTAAGCAACTCCAGTGTATATTTGGCCTTGTGTTTTAGGTTAGTGTCCTGCTGAAAGGTGAATGTCTCCCAGTGTTTGTTGGAAAGCAGACTGAATCAGGGTTTTCTCTAGGATTGTGCTTGTTCTTAGCTCTATTCCATTTATTTGTATCCTAAAAAACTCCCTAGTCCTTGCCGATGACAAGCATACCCATAACAGGATGCAGCCACCACCATGCTTGAAAATATGAAGAGTGGTACTCAGTGATGTGTTATTGATTTTGCCCCAAACATAATGCTTTGTATTCAGGACATAAAGTTAATTTCTTTGCCACATATTTTGCAGTTTTACTTTAGTGTCTTATTGCAAACAGGATGCATGTTTTGTAATATTTGTGTTCTGTACAGGCTTCACGGTATCTCTGTGCATTAAAATTGCCATCGAGAAAATGCAATTGTTTCGGTACAGTTGAAACTGGGATTTATCCGTGAAGAGCACACTTCTCCAGCGTGCCAGTGGCATTTGCAAGTTGCCTGCGGTTGTGAGGCCGGTTGGACGTACTGCCAAATTCTCTAAAATGACGTTGGAGGCGACTTATGGTAGAGAAATGAACACGCAATTCTCTGGCAACAACTCTGCATGGCAATTGCACACTCCCTCAAAACTTGAGGCATCTGTGGCGTTGTGTTGTGTGACAAAGGTGCACCTGTGTAATGACCATGCTGTTTAATCAGCTTCTTGATATGCCACACCTGTCAGGTGGAAGGATTATCTTGGTAAATGAGAAATGCTCACTAACAGGGATGTAAACCAATTTGTGCACCAAATTTGAGAGAAATAAGCTTTTTGTGTGTATGTAACATTTCTGGGATCTTTTATTTCAGCTCATGAAACATGGGACCAACACTTTACGTGTTGCGTTTATATTTTTGTTCTGTATATAACACTTGAAATGTCTTTATCTTTTTGAAATCTTGTTTACTGTTAAGTTTATTCTAATAGTGTTTTGTTGATGTTGTTTTTGTTTCTCCTCACTTTTGTTTATTGTTTATTTCATTTGCTTTGGCAATGTATACATACAGTGTGTTTCCCATGCCAATAAAGCCCCTTTGAATTGAATTGAGAGAGAGAGAGACCCTCCTCTGAAAGGTCAGAACACTAGGGGTTTTCTTTTGACCCCACTGCACTGTCCCTCACCCCTGACCTGATACAGAGAGAGGTCAGGATTTACATCAGGCTTTCAACACTGCGGCTGTTGGTCACCAGAGTTAGGATTTAACGACCGACAGTTGACCTTTAAAACAGAATATGTTGAAGTACAGTGGGGAAAAAAAGTATTTAGTCAGCCACAAATTGTGCAAGTTCTCCCACTTAAAAAGATGAGGCCTGTAATTTTCATCATAGGTACACGTCAACTATGACAGACAAAATGAGAAAAAAAATCCAGAAAATCACATTGTAGGATTTTTTATGAATTTATTTGCAAATTATGGTGGAAAATAAGTATTTGGTCAATAACAAAAGTTTCTCAATACTTTGTTATATACCCTTTGTTGGCAATGACACAGGTCAAACGTATTCTGTAAGTCTTCACAAGGTTTTCACACACTGTTGCTGGTATTTTGGCCCATTCCTCCATGCAGACCTCCTCTAGAGCAGTGATGTTTTGGGGCTGTCGCTGGGCAACACGGACTTTCAACTCCCTCCAAAGATTTTCTATGGGGTTGAGATCTGGAGACTGGCTAGGCCACTCCAGGACCTTGAAATGCTTCTTACGAAGCCACTCCTTCGTTGCCCGGGCGGTGTGTTTGGGATCATTGTCATGCTGAAAGACCCAGCCACGTTTCATCTTCAATGCCCTTGCTGATGGAAGGAGGTTTTCACTCAAAATCTCACGATACATGGCCCCATTCATTCTTTCCTTTACACGGATCAGTCGTCCTGGTCCCTTTGCAGAAAAACAGCCCCTAAGCATGATGTTTCCACCCCCATGCTTCACAGTAGGTATGGTGTTCTTTGGATGCAACTCAGCATTCTTTGTCCTCCAAACACGACGAGTTGAGTTTTTACCAAAAAGTTATATTTTGGTTTCATCTGACCATATGACATTCTCCCTATCCTCTTCTGGATCATCCAAATGCACTCTAGCAAACTTCAGACGGGCCTGGACATGTACTGGCTTAAGCAGGGGGACACGTCTGGCACTGCAGGATTTGAGTCCCTGGCAGGGTAGTGTGTTACTGATGGTAGGCTTTGTTACTTTGGTCCCAGCTCTCTGCAGGTCATTCACTAGGTCCCCCCGTGTGGTTCTGGGATTTTTGCTCACCGTTCTTGTGATCATTTTGACCCCACGGGGTGAGATCTTGCGTGGAGCCCCAGATCGAGGGAGATTATCAGTGGTCTTGTATGTGTTCCATTTCCTAATAATTGCTCCCACAGTTGATTTCTTCAAACCAAGCTGCTTACCTATTGCAGATTCAGTCTTCCCAGCCTGGTGCAGGTCTACAATTTTGTTTCTGGTGTCCTTTGACAGCTCTTTGGTCTTGGCCATAGTGGAGTTTGGAGTGTGACTGTTTGAGGTTGTGGACAGGTGTCTTTTATACTGATAACAAGTTCAAACAGGTGCCAATAATACAGGTAACAGAGCAGCCTCTTAAAGAAGAAGTTACAGGTCTGTGAGAGCCAGAAATCTTGCTTGTTTGTAGGTGACCAAATACTTATTTTCCACCATAATTTGCAAATAAATTCATTAAAAATCCTACAATGTGATTTTCTGGATTTTTTTTCTCAATTTGTCTGTCATAGTTGACGTGTACCTATGATGAAAATTACAGGCCTCTCATATTTTTAAGTGGGAGAACTTGCACAATTGGTGGCTGACTAAATACTAAATACTATGACAACAGTTGAATGTATAGGGACACCTCTGGAAGTGACACACAAGACATAGACAAATGTGTGTCACTGTCACCATGGAAACCCCAACAGGGCTGAGTCAACCCAATCCAGACAAATAACCTTCTAACCCTACTGAATTAATCTTTCCCCCTTTCAAACACACACACACACACAAACACATACACACATTTCTGTGCAAAAAAAAGAGAAGTGCTGCTGTATAACAATGCAATATAGTGGCCTGACTATCTTGATGTCTCTGTTGGTGTAGCTGTGTGTGTGTGTGTGTGTGTGTGTGTGTGTGTGTGTGTGTGTGTGTGTGTGTGTGTGTGTGTGTGTGTGTGTGTGTGTGTGAGAGAGAAAGAGACAGAGGGAGCGGGGCGGACAAATGTACTTTAATGGCTGTGGTGATCGACTCAACTGGGAAACTATGCAGAGAATGTGCAGCGTGTGCCCAGAACTGGTGGTTTAGTCATCTCTCTGCTCTCCTCTCGCTATGAAATGACCCCAAAACAAGATGGCTGCTCAGTAGTCAATGATCATAGTCCATCTGTAAACACCAACTCTATCAGCACAGGCAATTAACCATCATGATAATAAGGTGTGTGTGTGTGCGAGTGTGAGTGTGTGTGTGTGTGTGAGTGAGTGATTCAAAGCTAGATTCCGGTCTGACAGCAAAAGTGGATGTTCCATGTCTCAAGCAAGTGAGGCTGCAACACTACTTCTAATATTAGCAGGGGATGTTAGGGGGTGATGAAATGCAGATGATACACAGAAGCTGTGCCCAGAAGAGATGTGTAGCAATACCAGGGCACAGCAATTGTGAAAGTGACAGCTTAGTTGGTACACACACACATACATGCATTTTCTCACGTACACAGCTTCTCAAACACACACGGGTAATCACACACAGACACAACCTCCCATTGCTGTTTTGCTCAGTCCATGGTGAGATTTTAGAACCGCTTTAGTTACCGAAATGTATGAAGCGTACATGTAAATGGGTATGTTTTATGAATGTTGAGGAAAAAGCTTTTGTCACTTGGAGCAATATCACCACCGTGTGGCAGACAATACCACTGCCGTGTGGTCCTCTGTAGCTCAATTGGTAGAGCATGGCGCTTGTAACGCCAGGGT